GCACTCTACCCAGGGGGACAGCTTGAGGCTCCGTCTCAAAAAAAAAAAAAAAAGAACAATGAAATCATGCGATAACGTACATCATCTCTGTGGTAGTAATGCCCAAAATATTTATCTGGAATCTCATCAGCTGCAACAATCAAATTCATAAAACTAATGGTCTGACCTCTTCACAAATGTTGTAACGTGAAAGACAAAAAAGAAAAAAAAAAACTGAAGAACAATCTGAAATTAAAACAAATGAGATAAAAACAAAATGCAACGTGTGGCCCAGGTGCAGTTGCTCAATCCCATAATCCTCGCACTCTGGGAGGCTAAGGTAGGAGGATCACTTAAGCTCAGGAGTTGAGACCAGTCTAAGTAAGAACCCACTTCTACTAAAAATGGAAAATCAGCTGGGCATAGTGGGGGGTACCTGTAGTCTCAGCTACTGGGGAGGCTGAGGTAGGAGGATTCCCTGAGCTCAAGAGTTTGAGATTACTATGAGCTAAGCTGATGCTATGGCACTCTAGCCTGGGCGACAAGAGTGAGACTCTGTCTCAAAAACAAAAAAACAAAAAACAACCCCCCCCCCCAAAACCCAACCAAACAAAAAACACCCGCAAATAACACTATTGGGACAATTGTACATATGGACTATAGGTGAGATTACTATTAAATTTCTCAAGTCTGATAATGTACTGTGTGTCTTTGATTTTATTTTATTTTTTTTGAGACAGACTCTCACTGTCACCCTCAGTAAAGTGCTGTAGCATCACAGCTCACAGCAAAATCAAACTCAAGTGATTCTCTTGCCTCAATCTCCCAAGTAGCTGGGACTACAGATGCCTGCCACAGCTCCTGCCTATTTTCTTTTGTTGCAATTGTCATTGTTTAGTTTAGCAGGCCTAGACTGGGTTCAAACCCGCCAACCTCAGGGTCTGTGGCTGGCACCCTAACCCCTGAGCTATGGGCACTGAGGCATGTGTCTTTGATTTTAGAATATTTACAGTGAAATATTTAGGGATGAAGTGTTTCATGGTGTCTGAAATTAATTGCAAACATTGTGTAATTTCTTACACAAAAAAGAAAGATAAATCAAATGGTGTAAAATGCTGGCAAGTACTGGATCTCAATGAAGGGCATAGCATTCATTACACAATTTTTGTAACCTCGAAGTTCAAAAGAAGACAAGACAGACTAGGTACGTTTGCCCGTGTATTATCAGGTACTTCAATGGCTGTAATTATTTCTAGTCATGATCTTTACATAATAAACTTCTTGCTTATAGTATGCCTGTGAAAAACAAACACTGTCCCTAGGGCAATAATCGCAAGAGTTATACAGAGCTCTGTCCCCCGTGAGCCCTAAAGCACTGCTCTGCAATTGCCTTGCACAGAATGCAGGCTCCAGGTGAAGATAAATGCCCAATAGCAAGACACTTTCTTTGAATCAAGTACACACAGCTCCATGAGAAGTGTCAGAGAGAAGCCCATTCATTACAAATCTCCCAATTCAGAGTATGAAAATCAGAGCACAATCCATTTATGCCAGAGGCTGAAATTTCTGAATTTTTTTTCTTTTTTTGCATGACTTTTTGACAAGCTCCCAGTACACCAGTATCTGCAGCAGTGACTCTGTGCACCATGTGATAACACAGGAGGCAGATGTGTGAAAAATCAGACCTCGGCTATGACCTCAAACAGTAGGATATAAAGAACTCCTACATCACTACCATTCCTACATCACTACCATTCCAATAATTGAATGTGAAGCATAAATGGGTTAGGTTAATGTGATACAGGAAGCAAGAAAAAATAACCTCCTCAGCTAGGATTCTATTTTTCTTTTTTTTTTTTTTAAGAGATAGAGTATCACTTTGTTGCCCTTGGTAGAGTGCCATGGCTTCACAGCTCACAACAACCTCCAGCTTTTGGGCTTAGGCGATTCTCTTGCCTCAGCCTCCCAAATAGCTGGGACTACAGGTGCCCACCACAACACCCGGCTACTTTTTTGTTGCAGTTTGGCCAGGGCTGGGTTTGAACCCACCACCCGCAGTATATGGGGCTGGTGCCCTACCCACTGAGCCACAGGTGCCACCCCCTCAGCTAGGATTCTTAACACTGAAAACCACTAATCTGGGAAGGGAGGACTGATGTCTAAAGTTGTTTAAAATCATACCTGAAGGTGAGGGAGAGACTGAGGACTTCAGTGACATGGAACTCACTGATGCTGAGACAGGTGTGGGGTGACTGAGAGGTGCAGAAATAGCTGGCTTGCAGGCGGAAGATATTGGCAGTATTGAAGGCGTGCTCTGACAGCTATTAACAGGAGCAGAGGTAGCCACAGCAGTAAACCTGAAAATGAGAACCCCAAATGCCTCAGAAAGCCTGTTAGAAGATTCTTTCACATTGGCATGAGCAATGTCACCAAAGGATAACTTACTATCTGTAGTTTTTTGCCTTAGGAGACATTAATGTTCAGCTATTTCTTATAAATGGTGAAAGTTGAAAGGAAACATTTATATTATTGTCTGCTTATTTAGGAAAGGATTATTCAACTAAAATATCAAGTACTTACTGTGAAGATGAAATTAAGTTTATCATGATATAAAATACTTATTTTCTATTCTATCCAGCTGAGTAAAAAAAGGATGGGGAGACCCAACCAAGCATAGGAGAGTTTAGTACTTTCCTTCAAGGAAATGATTAAGAACTCACTTAATGAGTTCTTTGGGAGGTAGTCATCTTCTCTGGAGAGTAAAAGAGGAAGAAAAAAGCAGGACACTATTTTTAGGATGTTTATGGTGTAAAGAGAATGTAAAGTCAGTTCCATCTAAAGAGCAAAAGCCGTTAAGCAATCTAAATACGCAGCATTAGATGACTGGGCAAACTGTGGTGCAGTCAACAAAACAGAGCTCTGCGACCATTAGAATGAAGTGGCTATGTGCCAATCCCACATCAGCAATGACAGTGACAGCAGGAGGACCGTCACACTGCAGCAATGGAGAGCAGGGGAAAGCTGCGCATGTTTACACTCATGGTTATTTTGGGAGGGGTTACAAGATACAAGGGATTGCTTCCCTCAGGAAGCCTACATTCCAGCAAGAACAGAACAAGAAGATAAAGAAGAAATAAAAGAGTTATGAGTGAGCTCCAGGACCTAAATCTGGAGGAAACTGGATACCATGCTAAAGACTTGGATTGTAGTTGAAAAGCAGTGAGAAGTACCAGGGACAGGTCTAGCAGGAGAGTCATCTTAATATATTTACAATTTCACAAGATCACTTTGTTGGCTTATAGATAATAGTTCAGAGCGAGTAGAGAGTAGACACAAGGGGATGAAGACTACAGGGGGTACTCATGGCCAGGTGCGGTGCCTCATGCCTATAATCCCAGCATTCTGGGAGGCCACAGAAGATGGACTGCCTAAACTCATGGGTTCGAGACCAGCCTGTGCCAGAACAAGACCTTGTCTCTAAAAAAAAAGCTGGGCCTTGTGGCAGGCACCTGTACTCTCAGCTACTTGGGAGGCTGAAGTAAGAGAATCACTTAAGCTCAAGAGTTTGAGGTTGCTGTGAGCTGTGACATTATAGCACTCTATCAAGGGTGATAAACTGAGACTCTCTCAAAAACAAAAAACAAAACAAACAAACAAACAAAAGACCACAGGCGACTCATTTCCCTTCCAGGATGCAATGTATATTTTGGATTGCTTCCTCTTTTTTTTTATTTTTATTTTTCTTTGGTGACAGAGTCTTGCTCAGGCACCTTAGGTAGAGTGCAGTGGTATTAGCATAGCTCACTGCAACCTCAAACTTCCAGGCTCAACTGATCCTGCTGAGCCTCCTGAGTAGATGGGTCTATAGGTACAAATCATGACACTTGGCTAATTTTTCTATATTTATTAGAGTTCATGCTGGTCTCCAACTCTTGAAGTCAAGTAATCCTCCTGCCTCAACCTCAGAGGGTTAGGATTACAGGCTTGAGCCACAGGGCCCACCCTGCTTCCTTTTTAAAAATAAGAAGTATGTCTTACATCTAAAATGTGGAAAAGCAAAATAAATATTTAAATACAAATTGCCTAGAGGTCAAGAAAATGTAACACTAGCTAAGAGAACACTTCTGCCTCTGTTTACTGATGAAATGCAAGCTTTCTACATTGGTTGAATGTACACCATTTGCAAGTATTACTTTGGACAAAAATTTCTATTGAGTAACTTCACTTACAATGACTCTAATTCCAGCTAATTCCTGCACTATTTCTACCTATCTAACAGAAGAATCAAACGTTTTACAGTGACTTACTTTTCGCTCAGGTTGACCTTGACTGCAGAGGATGAGGGTGGGAAGCAAGGCTTCATTGCTAAGTTCGCAGCAGACCCGCTCAGCATTGGTGTGCTTTCCAGGGTAGGCTTAAAACCTGCTGATCCAAAGGAGAATGAAGCAGCTGATGGGGCCATGGGTGACCCTGCAGGGGTGGGGGCCAGGGAGGCTTTAGAAGGAGGAGCAAAAGAGAAGGTTGATGTGCTAGAGCCCAAGGCTGCTTTGGAATTGTCAGAGCCACTGGAATACGAAGAGGGCTCCCCAGTGACAGAAGCAGATGATTTCAAGAATGAAGCACCAAAGGAGAACACAGCAGGGGCTCCCCCAGCAGGAAGTAAAGAGAAGGTGGCAATGGGAGCAGCAGATGACAAAGGTGGTGCAGAGACAGGGGCTGCAACTGCTGGAGGATCAAGTTTCTGTGGGGCTTGAGAGGAGGTTGGGGTAGTAGGAGTGCTTCCTGTAATGAGAAAAAAAAAAGGAGAAAAAGAAATGAAACGGTTAACAGTGTAACAGTACAGGTCTAAATAACAAAAAGCATGAAAAAGGGTTTGTGGTAGAATGAGGCCAGAAATGATCCTAGTTCAAGAAGTATAAATATTAAAAAAAAAAAAGGTGGGCAGCACCTGTGGCTCAGGGAGTAGGGCGCCCCCATATACCAAAGGTGGTGGGTTCAAACCAGCCAAACTGCAACAAAAAATAGCCGGCGTTGTGGCAGGCACCTGTAG